ACGCAGGCAAGCAGGGGAAAGCAGGAAAAGGGGGACTAGACGGCACCGGCAGTAAGTGGCCATCATGCAGGTGCATACACTGACATTATGCCTTGTCATTTTACATTCCAAGGACACGAGCAGGAGAATCGCAAGGAATAGGACAAGCGCAAGGATGGTGGTAAGGATATGAACAAGAGTCGGGCTCAAACGGGACGTGGCAGGCCACGTAGCGGCCGTTCGGAGGTATGAAGCCTCTGGTTGCAAGACCATGGCTATTAACTAAATGCTTTTTATTGCCTTATTTCGAGGCACGTTATGCCGGTGTCACACCTACAGCCGTCATTGTACGTAACATGCTCACAACTATGTGTGGTTCATATACCCCCCCTGGCGGACGGTGGGGCCGTCCATGGCGGACGGTCTGCCGGACGGTCGACCGTCCGGCACAGCTTTCCGGGCACACATACCAACACATACCAACATATTTTTGCACGAAGCAAAAGACATTTTGTTGTAGTTTATCCTGGTGCTCGCGGCGCGCGCGGGCGTGGAGCGCGCGCAGAGATTCCTTGCGCAAGCCGGCAGCACGGCATGCAAACTGCGTCCAGATGAGCCCTTTAGCCTTGCAATTTGCTGAGCTTATAGTGAATTAAAGTTTTATAATCTTTTCATGGATAATGTAATGCAATGTGCTATACTGGGGGCTACATCGATGCAAGCGCTAGGAGCCAGCAAATGCATGAAATGTAAACAAAGCTAAAACTAGCATTCGGCTAAGTCAATTAGATGTAGGAGCATATTTATCTGGCGGTTTGGGGCCAGGCTTGGACCGCAGCCATGGGCGACCTGTGTGCATGGGACCCTGTGTGTCTGAGAGCCTGTGTGCCTGGAAGCCTAGGATTCTAAAAGCCTGTGTGCCTAGGAACCTCGGAACGTGGGAGTGTGGGCGCCTGGGATTCTGTAAGCATGGGTTTCTGATAGCATGTTTACTTGGGAGCCTGGGATTCTGAGAGCCTGCGAATCTGGGAGCCTGGGAACCTGGGAGCCTGGGGACCTGGCAGCCTGGGGACCTGGCAGCCTGGGGACCTGGCAGCCTGGGGACCTGGCAGCCTGGGGACCTGGGAGCGTGGCAGCCTGGGGACCTGGCAGCCTGGGGACCTGGCAGCCTGGGGACCTGGCAGCCTGGGAACCTGGCAGCCTGGGAACCTGGCAGCCTGGGGACCTGGCAGCCTGGGGACCTGGGAGCCTGGGGACCTGGCAGCCTGGGGACCTGGCAGCCTGGCTTTCTAAGAGCTTGTGTGCCTGTGAGCCTGAGATTCTAAAAGCCTGGGAACCGGAGAGCCTGGGAACCTGGGAGCGTGGGAGCTTGGGAACCTGGGAGCTTGGCTGCCTGGGATTCTGAGAGCCTGTGTGCCTGGGAGCGTAGGATTCTGAGAGCCTGGGAACCTGGGAGCCTCGGGACCTGGGAGCCTGGCTTTCTAAGAGCTTGTGTGCCTGGGAGCCTGGGATTCTGAGAGCCTGGGAACCTGGGAGCCTGGGGACCTGGCAGCCTGGCTTTCTAAGAGCTTGTGTGCCTGGGAGCCTGCGTCTGTATTTTTTTCGGTCGTCTATATCCTGAAGACCCGTCTATTAGACGAGTCATCTACAATAGTTCGTCTAAAGTCGAGTCGTCTATACATGTCGTCTATAGTCGATTCATCTATTGTAGACGAAGAATAGACGATGGGTAGACGGTGAGAGGAGTTCAATATGCTGGAGAGTGTCTGCTTGGGTTAAACCATGCCGCTGAGCTGATGTCTGTTCTGCATCAATGTTGGCAAGGTTCTGGCAGGCTAACACTGCCTGGCATGTAACGATTATCGCCATACTTACAAAACCCCAGCACATGCTGTGGGGACCAGGCAGTGCCCAGCCTCTCCCACTTCCTTACCACAAAACTGTAGCAGTTTGAGATAATTGGGCAGACTTCAGTGAAGCCCACCCCTCATCGACAAGCCCACAACAAAGGCTCGTCATGGTCCTTTATAACTGCAATGTCTGGCAACTTCCCAGCACAGGCCGGCTGGTTTTGAAAACTCTCACCAGCACAGGCTGTGATGAACAGCCATTCCAACCAGTGATTTTT